TATGAAGTATGAATCTACAAAAATTGGAAGTTGTCAAAAATGAAATGAAATGCATAAACATCAGTGTCCTAGGCATTTGTGAGCTAAAATGAACTGGTTTTGGCCATTTTGAATCTGACAATCACATGGTTTACTAGGCTGGGAATGACAGATTGAAGAGGAATGGTGTCACATTCATCATCAGAAAGAACATTTTAAGATCTACCTTGAAGTTTAATTCTGTCTGTGATAGGATAATAGCCATACACCTACAAGGATGTAATGGTTGGTATTTCTGTCATTCTCTTGGCTTTTACAAGCAGGTAAAATCTTTCCTTTCATCTGGAAACAAACACTTTCTCCCAGAAGCCCTCTAGAAGACTTTCTACTATGTCTTATTAGCCATAATTAGGCTACAAGACTACACCTAGCTGCAAGGGAATCTAATCATCAAGGATCTAGCAAAGGGGACTCATGATCAGCGAAGACTAAGCATAATTCAAGTGAGGTTTGTCACTTTGTCATCTCGAATAAAATCAGGATTCTGTGGCAAGGAAAAAGAAGGCAAGGCTAGTGGGTAGCTAACTATCAGTATCTTCCACAGATTTGAAATTAAAGTTGAAATAAGAATCCTTACAAGAAAAATTCTAGTTTGCTAAATACAATTGAAAAAGTATTTTTGTTTCACTAAAACTATTTCAAAGCGGAATCAAAGCTATAAATGTTCTAAAACAGAATCAAAATATAGTAATTTGTGCATCAAGATTATATTCCATTTCAGCCCCCCCACAAAATTCCAAGGAGTATTCTGGCTTTAGGTACCCAAAGCTCTTTTCAGCTCTCTACCTGTAGTACACTTGTGGTACTGACCTAATCGGTATCAAAGATCTCTGAAAAACAAAAAATATTAAATCCAAATCCTAGGGTAACAAAATAGGTCCTCGGGTTCACCTTAAATATGAGACATCCTTTGGGAAGACATAGAATAGTTTGCTGAGGTAAGATTTGTGGTTACTTCGAGAGATGTAGGTAGGGATTTTGGCAATGAGACCACCTCCCAGGAGTGCTAAATGCAGTTGTTAGTTTTATTGTGGTCTTTTAATCTAGTTGGTAGCAAATGAGCTTAAGCTGCTATGGAAAGGTGCAATAAACACTATTTTAAAGGATTCCTAGTAAGAACTAATTTCCTCTGAAGTGTCAGTTTACTGATATGCACCCAAGGGCTACTTCTGCAAAAGGCAGAAATATGGCACGTGGCCCTGCAAATATCAATGAGAGCTTGGACCCGAATCTCTTTTAGGCTTTTCTAAACAAATGCTCAGTTCCTTTAG